TGTGAAAACTTGTGCTGCAATATTTTTTATTTTGTTTAGGTTTTTTTGTACTCCGTGGTTCAAGGAGGCACTTCCTTGACGCAATCAACTACTCGGCTCTCTTCACGTAATACTAACTAGACCATTCGGCCGAGCCGCTCCTTTTGATGTATAATTAGTGGGGGTGCCCTCTGCCCTTCGAGCCACATTAACATCCGGAAGGAGAATAAAGAAGGGCTAAAAATCCTCCGGTGAATAGCAATTATAAAGAGCTCAAATCTTCTAGTGCAGAACAATACGTGGCTTTCAGGGTCAGGGCCTTGAATAAAGAGGAACAGGGAAAGAATGTTTACAGCGTTCAAATACTGAGTGAAATTCTGTAGTGTTATGGATTAGGAAGGATCAGGTTGGTCCCACTAGACCTGAGTATAACTAATAGCAGACCTTTTATCAGCGCTAACTTGTATTAAAGGGATACTAGGCAGTTATGCTTGCTTTTATCACCCCTAGTGTCCTCTTCTTTTAAACATCTTAATCTACCAGTACAAACGTCTCCCAGCGTTCCTAGTAGTCTACAAGAGGGATTCATCACTAAATAAAAAAACCAGCAGATGAAAACATTGCAAATTGTCCCTCAAAAACTCTAAAAACTAAATTGGATGTGACTTACCCTAACGGTTTGGGCCTAAAATAAGAACAAACTTGGGCAATCCTATCTGAACGCTTATTCAGTCACAACGTAAGACCCTGTTTATGGTATGGTTGTGAGTGTGGTGTACGGCATTTCAAACGAGGTTTCTGAGTTGGAGGTGTTTGACTCCGTGTGTGGGGCGATAGTGGGGGCTGTTCGGCATCTGGGGTTTAACGCACGTGATGTCAGGGCTATGGTCTCATTTGCTTAGTTTAGGTTCATCTTACTGAGCAGTTTTGCTTGCTTTTATCATCCTCTAGTGTCCATTTGTAGCAGCGAATATCTCCTCGCTGTGCGTTCTCCTTTTTTAACACCTTAATCTACCAGTAGAAACGTCTCCCAGCATTCCTAGTTGTCTACTGGAGGGATTCATCACTAAATTAAACAAACCAGCTGGGTTCATAATCTAAAACTTGCAGGACAGCGGACCGGGGATGAGAAGCACTGTGTTACTCAAAAAAGTAAAAGGGGACGGGAATGCCAAACTCTAAATATAAACTGGATAAATTGCATTTCTTGTGGTAATGCTGTTTAATTGCTGACAGCTCAGCAGATCCATTGGTAACGTGTTGTGATTTTAGTGTTGGGGGCGAACTGGAGCTCCCAGAGAAAACCCCCATGCAGCACAAGGAGACAGAAATAATCTGTTTCCTGTGAAAACTTGTGCTGCAGTATTTTTTATTTTGTTTGGGTTTTTTTGTACTCCGTGGTTCAAGGAGGCACTTCCTTGATGCAATCAACTACTCGGCTCTCTTCACATAATAATAACTAGACCATTCGGCCGAGCCGCTCCTTTTGATGTATAATTAGTGGGGGTACCAGTAGAAACGTCTCCCAGCGTTCCTAGTTGTCTACTAGAGGGATTCATCACTGAATTAAACAAACCAGCTGGGTTCACTATCTAAATCTTGCAGGAAATATCCTGAAGCCAGACAGCAGCGTCAGGAACCTCAGCTCAATTTTTTCTAAGTCTCAGCAGACCGCACCGGAAACGGTGAAGTTGCAAGTGGACTATTCTGGCCGTGGGGGGGGGGCGATAGGGGCTGGGTGGCCTTTCATTATCCCTCTAAAGGGTCACTATAGCACATAAAGGCTCAAGAAAATTATTTAAAAATACAAATTTGTTGAAAATTGTCCCTCTACTTCAACCTTGATCAAACATTCTAAAAACTAAATTGGACGCAACATACCCTAACGGTTTGGGCGTAAAATAAGAACAAACTCGGGGTGTCCTATCTGAACGCTTAGGCATTCGGTCACAACGTAAAACCCTGTTTATGGTAATAGTCTGAGTGAAGCGTTTGCTCTCTGTAAATATCGCCACAACAGTGTGATTTAACCGTCATGTGTATGCAGAGAAAATGAGCTTTCTGATTTGTGACGTTTCCACACTGTTAAATATGTTCCACCTGAGCTTTTCTACTTGATTCACTCATCCTTGCTTGGTCTTGGCTGACCGTCTTGCCCTTGCAAGTTGAAACTCTTTATGAGCCAGTTTATTCTTCAGCTCTCCATTCTCTTTCTTTAGTTCAGCGAATTCTACTATAACATCAGCGCACTCTTTCTGCAGTTCAACTTGCAATTTAATTTTCGTCAATTCAAACTGCTTTTTGAGTTCAATGATTTTATGTTCAAATGAGTTTCTGACGCTCTCCACATCTCTTTTGTGGTTATCCAGTTCATTCTGGTGGCCCTCAGACCACGTTAGAAACCTGGACAACTCTTCATCTTTGCTGTCTACATACATTCTCATTATATCCAAAAATGCTGATTTAAATTTGACTCTGCTATCTATTACTTTATGACAGCTGGTCAGATCTCGCTTCATTTTCAGAAACTCGAATTTCAGAGGCTCCACTTGTCCCAGGATTTCTGTATGTTTCTTGTGTAACTTCTGGTAGTCCTCCAGGAGCTCACGGTGTGTGCTTGAATACTTTTCCTTTTGGGCAGCTGCTTCTAAAGCCACTTTCTGTTTAGCTATTTCATTACGCAGCTGTTTCTCCGTGCGTTGAGCCTGAGCTAACTTGTTTTGGCATTCTTCCAACATTGGATTCTGTGTCATTAATTTGTCCTCAAGGATAGCAATTTTCCTTTCTTTTGTTTGGAGTTCTGTTGAATGATTGTTTCTGGTTCCTCTGAGAAAATCCAGTTCACGAAGAAGTTTTTCTATGTCTCTAGACTGGTTCAACCTAACTTCTGTCATTTGCATAATTATTTTTTCATACCTGTCCACTCTTGTGTCCAAATCTATTTTCATTTCAGACAATTCCAGCTCATATTTTTTTCTAAGAGGTCGTTCAGTCAAGACTTTCTCGTTCAGCTGTTTATTTTTATTGCGGGTTTTACTGAGAATTGTCGTTAAGTTCTTAAGTTTGGTGTCATTTATTTGAATTTTCTTTTCTTTTGACCTCTTTTCTTCTTGGCATTGTGAGGTACAATTGGTGATTTTCTGGTCCAGCTGAACCTTTAATTCTTCATTCCTTTGTTCCAATTTCATTATATTCTGCTTGGCTTCTTCAAGTTGACGTTCACAAACTCTAAACGGTGTGTTAAATCTGTCTGAATATTTTAAGTCCTGTAATTCTTTTGATAATTCTTCTACCTGCTGTGTCAGATCCTCAGTCCTCTGACGAAAACACTCATTTAATCCAGTAGATTTGTCTAAACTCTCTTTCAAACTCTCTAATGCTTTACATGAGCTTGTCTCTCTCAATGTCGTGAAGGCATTATCCAATGTCTGATATTTATTTTCCATGGCTCTGATTGTCTCCTGGAGAGTAGAAATTTGAGAAAGGAGTTTGTCTTCAGCAAGCTGTTTTTCGTCTACAACAAGCTGTTGTTCCTCTAATTTCTGTTGCAGGATTTCTACCATACGTTCAGCTTCTCCTGGATCGGAGACTTTCTTTGACCATTTCGACAAGGTCGACCCTAAAATGCGATTATATTTACGATTTATGTCTTCATATGACTTTGTGAGTTCTTCAATTTTCAAAGTCAGTTTCTGTTCTGTACTCTTTTTCTCGTCTAAAGTACGTTGCCAAGTTAAATTAGAGCATTTAGAAAGTTTCTCAGCCGTTTTCAGATCCCCTCTAAGTTTTTTAACTTCTTCATTGTGGGCCGCCTTCATCAGCGCTATTTCCTCGTTTTTCTTTTGTAAGATAGACTCCAATTCCTTTATTTTAGAAGGCATGTTTATTCCTCTTCTCTCAGCGGCTAGCTGCGAACTGTGGTGTGTGCTAGTTGTGTGCAGTCGGTAAGACGGCTGTCTTTGATGACGTCACGCGCTCTTTGCTTTAATTTGTCACGCGTCACGTGATGTACGGTCGTCCAGCGTCAGCGTAAGAAGTGATCGGTACCACGCATGCGCGACAGGCGTCTACTTCCGCTCGAAGCATTTTACGATAGTTACGGGTCAGAGTATCTGTTAAGACGTTAAAAAATAATAAGTATCTATTAAAATGTTTGCAATAGTGAAACATTTCAATATAATGTAGATAAAAAGAAAAAAAAAGAAAACGTCGGACCGTACAGATCGGGTCTACCGCGCATGTGCAGATGCTATATTCGTCTTGTGATCCGTTCAATGGCAGTTTACTCCGCAGTGTACGAGGATACTGCCACTTGCTGACCGAGCGAATAAGCCCGATTGTAAACTGAATTTGCGTTGTTACAAATCGTGTTTTTACATGCGTGTTAAATTTGATTTAGTGTGTTTATGCTTGTATGTGTGGAGACGATTGATTTGAATTATCTTGATGTTCTGTTGATAATGTTCACTGTAAATTGTCAGTAAACACTGGCTGATTAGTCTTCAGGTAACCTATTACATGTTTGTTTTTTCTCCACACAATAGGTTATATTTTCATTTAAAAGCTGAAAATATGTCACTGTGATACAGCAGATATTCTTAATTTGCACTACATGTCCTATGAATGTTTTCCCATATGAAATGTAATATATTCTTGCACAAAAGCCAATTTGGCTCATCACCTAAAATTTTACTTTCTACTTTTGTGTTAGATTTCTTAGTTTGCCACTTTGTCTTGAAATAACTTAATTCTTTGTAATACCATAGTGATCATTTTCACAATGTTGCAAAATTAATGTTTGAAAATAGTTTCTCAAGGTATTCATAGGTTAAACATGTTAAATACAGATTTAACTACACTCATGTTTATATCCATATAAAATAACACAGGTCCACTTTATAATTTCCACAGGTTTACTGTAATAATGCAGAACACAAACAACAGATTACAAGAGCATGAACAACAGAAAAAGGATTGAGAGGATGGTTACAACCCAGATTATTTGAATAAGGAGACACATATTGATGGAAATAAAAAGCTTTTTATTTTCAGCCTGTCCTTTCTGGCGGTGTGGTACTCTGAGTACCAGGTACAAGCCCAACAGATTCACTTTCTCAAACAGAGTGTTACAGTGTGTGTCCTGTCACAGTGTCCCGATTGATCATGCGCCCTGGCTACTTGACCAAGGGGATGTCCCTTTGGCTGACTGGTTAGAGTGTATGACTCTCACCCGGGAGTCTGGAGATCGAATCCCGCCCGGGCCCTCGTTTATCCACCTTGCCACAAGAGCATTACAGTTTTTGCTATAGAACTCCCAAGAAGAATGATCAAAAACTCTCACAAAGAAAAACAGGCATCAAAGCACAAACCAAGATGTGGGAGAACCACTGATGGGGAACCTGGTCACTACAACCAGTGTGGTGTGTGTGTGTTCTTGTACATACTACATACTGAGGACCATTTTGACCATTTTCCCTACAAAGTGAGGACATTTTTTGGTCCTCGCTTTTTTTAGAAGCATACCAGAAGCTTACTATACCAGTTAGAGGCATAGTGTGAATTAAGTTTTAGTTAAGGTTAGGGTTAGGAAAAGATAAGCGTTGGTTATGGTTAGGGTTGGGGTATGGGTTAGGCATGGTGAAATCACAAAAATGAATGGAAGTCAATGAAGGGTCCTCACTATGATAGAAAGACAGACGTGTGTGTGCGTGCGTGTGTGTGCGTGCGTGTGAGTGTGTGGTTGTGTGTGGAGACGGGGGCGGCGACAGAGCAGACACATTAATTGTTCATTTGGCTGCAAAAGTGGCTGCAGTAGCCTGGGAGCATCTCCTCCGAGTAAAGTGCCCTTAGTTCTCCTCTTTTTCCTCTGCCAACATATCCTGTAATAAAAAAAAAAAAAAAAAAATCAACCAGAGAAGAATAGGCTCCAAGTGGTATGGTTTTCATTATGTCATGCATCATTGAGATTTTTATTGTATGTATTGACAACAATATAAGATTATAGAGTGTTGCATCCCTCCGGGGCAGTGTTTGTACTGGTCTCCACATTGAAGGCAGATCTCAACAGAGTACATGTTAAAGTACTGTTCTCTGTACTGTTCTGAGAACCTGCTCCATGTGCAAACACCTGTGGAAAGCAGAAGTATAAAAACAAAATTACATTTACATACTGTCAGTGAAAAACATGTGACAACAGCAAATATAACTGTATATATAATTTCATTATTTACTGAAGTCCTCACTGTGAAGCCACTTGAAGTGTGCTCGTCTTCTGAAATATTCAGTAGACACAAGGTCTCTGAACATGGAGCACACCAGAGCCAGTTTGAAGATCGCTGTATCCCCTTCGAGAAGAACAACCTCTTCCAATATGTCCATGAGGACACGTTCTGGCAACTGTAAAATTTATGTCAGGTGACAACAGTGAAAATACAAAATTTGTCCATAAACTTTCAGAAATATGAGGACTGAAAACACATTACATTGAGTAGTGTTTCATAACTATTACTTCATTCTACTACTGAATAATGTCTCTGAAGGAGCTGCCTGTGAGTATAACTACCAATTCAGTTACATCAACAAATTAAAGAAACAGGAAAATAGATAGATTACCTCCAGTATAAGACACCTGTCAGCCTCAGCCTTTAACAGAAAACATGATTATCACATTAGACTGAAATGAAAATTACCACCATGTATGTAAAACTGCATTGTGATGAATAGTCTCAACATTGTTATCTGATTGTTGTCCTCTCTCACCGGTCTGATTAGACTTGGTGAAGGCTTGGAGGAGGTTGCCTTTGGTACCCTGAAGACAGGCTGGAGAGTCCCCTGGAGGAGAAGGGATGCTTCTTCTGTCCAGAAGGCAAATCTTTGTCCATGCCTTTAGAAAACAACGCCAGTCTGAATGGACTCTAGTTGTGTACTGCTGCTTTCTTCACTATGTTCAGTCTCAGGGTTTACAGTAAGCCACTTTCACAAACTTTTGTTTGACCTGATGTCTTGCCTGAACCAAAGCTGCAAATATGATGGTGCCAGTTTGTCTAAAGTGCCTGCCATACCCCTCAATGCCGAATCTCTCCATCAGCTGAATACACCACCACAGGCGAATTGCTGGCATTTCCTCCTGAAGACAAATATAATATAATGTTTATGAAGACTGGACACTGGTACAGATACTTTGGTGGTACTGTCTGAAAAAGCTTACCTCTGTGAAAGATGGTGGAGATGAGGTGCAGATGCAGAGAGCATACTGTAAAGTAAAATCAATCTTTAACATGTTAAAATGTTATATTCAAGTAATGGCAAGAAAATTCTCACCATCAGCATAAAGATGCCGCAGCAATTTCCCATGAACTGCTGGGGAAAGAACTGTAAAAAGAAAAATGTTTCATTAAATGAAGAGAGCTGACATGCACCTGCTAGCTGTTAATTGCATTATTATGCACCTGATGAGCTTTCAAACGTTTGCACTGAAAACATACCTCAAGGTCTCTTCCTGTTTTCTCCATCCAGAATCCAGAGTCAATAAAGGCTGCTACTCTCCTGGCATTGTAGAGAACACACATAACACACCAACCAAATGTTTGACATAAAACAAAAATAAATTCATGTTGTAGGGATGCAACAATACTTTTTCAAACCGATACGATACAGATAATTGGACCCGAGTACTTGTTGATACCAAGTACTAGTGCTAATAATTCTACCACACAATGGAATGGAATGAATCGGAAGGCAGTTTTATTTTCTTCAGTGCTTGTTACAAATAATGGTGAATTAGATTAAAAAAAACATATGAATTAAAATGACCACAAAATTCAAAGTTCAAGTGAAAAATAAACATTTTCTATGAAAGTTTTGCAGTTTCCACATATAAAGTATCGGTTCATAGTATCAGTTAACTAAACTATGCAGATACAAGTTAATTAGAACAGTATTGGCCTGGATATCAGTATTGGTGCATCCCTATCATGAAGTAGCCTTAGAACGAGGCTGCCTCCCGAATCTTTAAGCCTAAGAACGAGGCTGCTTTTAGATGATCTTTCCAAAGAACACAAGAGGCCATTGAACAAGGCCAGAAAAAAATTTCATTTTAGTGTCAACCTAAATGTGGTTCGGTAGAGATCATCTCCAAAACCATCAGGGCCAAATGAGTCCAGAAACAGTATCTGTCTCTCAGCTACCAATATAGCCTGAAATAGAAATGTTAGCATCATCCATGAAAACACGACACGTCAACCTCTGTTATTTTCTATCAGATGAAAAAACACAGAGCAAGAAAGATCAAGGGCACTCACACAGAGCAGATAATGGTCAGCTTCACCTGCCTGCCGACTCCAAGCAGGAAAAAGCAGGATGTCCTTGGACCTAAAGTTTTCCTACATGTATTGGTACAAATTAGTAAACATGCACATGCAGGAGTAAAACCAACAAAAACATACCGGCAAGCAACGCAGCAGGTTGACTTGTGGATCCTTCCAGGTGGCCACGACATAGAGGTCAGCAATGTGAACATCTTTTCCCTAATGGAAACACACACAAAACAGCAAAATCAATACACAACCACCATTCATGGCTATAACCAAAGAAAAGGTGTACCAGTACGACAGATTACATGTCTTTGTGCAGCTTCCCCCACAATCTTCAGACAAGCGTTGCCAATCTGAAAGAAATAGCAAAAAGCAATAGAATGCAGTTTCATTTACTATTCTTAAAATCTTGCATTTCATTATCTTTTCTCTGCAGTGCATTAGACTAAGTAACAAGATGTACTTACAGTAGATTCCATGGACTGTTCCAAACCCAGGCTCCAAAAGTCTTCCCGAGTTAGGCAGATTTTGTCTTCCTTCACTAGGAGTTCTCCTGGAGGTCGGTTTTGGTCCAAGACATATTCCACCTAAATGAAGAGCATTTCATGTGATTTTGCTTCAGTACAATATAGAAAATAATAAAGATTAAAAGGGCAACTACAAAATAAGGCTGGCATTGTTTCTCATACTTCAGCAATTCTAAAACTATCATCGACTTTGACTTATTGAGGTCTAACATGACTGCATAGAAATGTGCCGTACCAGACTGGACTGAAGAGGGTCCAAGTTTTTCTGCCACTTTGCTCCTGGACTGGCATACCGATGATCAATCTGCCATTCAGGAGTCCCATATAAGTGGTCCAGGAGAAACTTCCCATCAGTTGGTGGATCTGATAATATACAAATATGTGGCATGACATACAAACTTAAATCCATTTTTAACATTAAATCAATATTGAACTGTGACTTCTTATTACTTCTCATACTGTATGCTTACTTTTTGATCTGTGGTAGTTCCTCAGCCTGGACACATTTACCTTCTGGCAAGTTGCTCCCTTCACAATAGTGGCCACCCCCTTTGGTGTGATGCTGGCCACAGTGTACGGTCCCTGGTGATGGCTGGAGAATGCATCTCCCGTGCGTCTCCTTTTTGGATCTCCTGACAAAAGCACGTCATCACCTGCTTGAACAACACACTGCCTTACTAGCTTCCTTTTCCCTGTTCCAAAGGTCTTCCTCTGGGTGTCCTGTGCCCTCTCAATATTGCGAAGAACCTACAAAAAAATTACATGAAAAGCAGAGAGAGAAATATAAATATTTATTATTCACCAGGTCGCCATGGCAATGCTCATTCTGGAAATATAGAAATACAGAAAAGTTAGTTACTAAAGCAGAAAAATGTTGAATACACAATAAAAAATAAGAACTGTATTAACCACATTTCCCCTTTTTTCCCTTGACAAATCTCCTTTCCCTGTCAGTCAGCCCTCTTCAAATGTACAGACCGTTTCATTCAGAGCCGTCATCTCCTCAACTCTTGTGTCGATGTCCTCTTCTGGGTCTGCAACCTCCAAGTCGTCGTCCATGGGGCAGGTGTTCATCACAGCAGGAAGACGTGGATGTCGGTGGAAGAGCAAACTGCTCAGGCTGATTTAAGAATGCTGAGCTCGTGTTTATAGAGCGCCTGCTACAAACTAAAAGTTTAGAACTTTTCATTTCCACATCTTGGTAAGATACCAAAGACCAGGTGTGACACAGTGACAGCTTCCTGTGTGAGCGGACTTGTCCCCAGTACCTGACATCGTTCCTGCGCAGCCACAGATTGCCTCTTTGGCTCCTCCACTGGAGCAGAAGGAGCAGCAGTGGAACGTCCCACCGTGGTGTCTGAACTTCTTCTTCACATTCAGCAGGAACGGAGAACCCTGCAGGGAGGAGAGGGGAGCTGTGAGCTCCAGGTGAGTCCAGCACCTGTCTACCTGTATCCTTTGTTTGGGTGCAGCCCTTAGTACCTTCACATGCTGGGCTTTGACACAAACCCACACAGAGTAAGGTCCTGGTTCCTCAGGCTTGTATGAAACGCTGTACGTTCCATCAGCGTTGTCCACCACCACCGTCTCCACAGCGCTGAAGGACACAACCATTAATGGGTATTATAAAGTATACATACCAAATAATCATTACCAACAAAGCATCCCCCACAGAGGCGGGCAGAGCCCTCACCAGTTCTTCTTCTCTTTGTGGACGATGCTGACGAGGACCTGCTCTCCTCCTCGAGCCATCTGCTCCCCGGCTGAGTCTCGACACACCAGGCTAAAACGGCCCGGCTGGCCCTCGCTGCCCCGCCGCAGACCTGTAACCAGGCTAAAGGTTAAAGGTCACACAGCTGAACACAGACAATGTACTGCAGGACTAAGAGGATAAATCTAAACATAGCTTGTTCATGTGTAAGGGGCACCAGCCAGGAAGCTCTTTTAAGATCTGCTGTTGACTCTTAATGTGGATTTGGATGTTTAGCCTGCTGTAATGTGGAATTAACTCTCATTCCCCAGCCCACCCATGACTCCCGTCCTTCCTAACGCTGCCAACTGCTTCCAGATCAGCTCCGGATGCTGATCAGTTTTCCAGACTCTCCCGCTTTCACTCACTCGAGACATCCAGCTGCTGCTGCAGTCGTGTCACTGCTGACAGACTTTGTGTTCGCATCAATGATTAATGTCACGCTGGACATCTGTCAGACTGATTATCTGATCACTCAGTGTTGTCCACAAGCAGCTGAGATCCTGAAGCCGCTGATGTTGATGAAACCGCTGCTACTGCAGAAACGGTGGACAGAGATGCCTCAGATGTTAAACCGCTGATAGATGATTAATTTGGGTCAAAACTGAAATAACGATTATTTGTGTTAAAGTTTTTACATTTCTGAGGTCGTGAAGCCTTAAAGCTTAAATACTTTGCAAATTTTCAAGTCACTTTCTTGAGCCAGTGTGTGCTAAAACAACCCTTTACAGCACATATGTCAGAGTCAAGGCCCGCGGGCCATATATAACCCGAGCAAACCTACTGTGGGTTCCTGAGGTGAGAACATGAGTAGAACACGTTTTTGTTTCCAGACCTTCTGAAGAGTCTGCTCTAAATAAATGACTGTCTCCAGAAAGTGTCCTGAAGCTTTCTGTCTACATGTCTGGACCTGACAGCATCCTCTAAGGACATTCCCAGAAGGCATGTTGAGTCACACCGGCATTCCTTTGGTTCAGGAGGAATTCTGGAACGCCCACTGGTCTATCAGCTCAGTCTGACCACTGACTTGTTTCTGTGACCAGTAAAACAGGATGTGCAAACCCAGTCCCGAGATCACCTTCTCTTTATCTTACAGGAACACAGACAGAACACCACTTTGCCTTTGTTTACCTTCTCCTTCAATGGTGCACCTGCTGACATCCAGCGTCCTCCAGTTAATCACACCCACCACTGGGTAGCCCTCCACCTCTCCGGCTGGCTCTCTGGGCAGGAAGCAAATGCTGCTGCTATCGTCTGGGGCGACCGCCGCTGGACAAGGGTTATAGCCTCTCTCTGCCAGGCTGGCGAGTCGTCTTAGAGTCACTCCTTTAGCGCTGAGGATCTCGGCGTCAGACCCACAGCTCAGGAGGCGCTCGGCAAACGCCACACTGCCTCGGACATCCAGCAGGCCCTGCTGCAGCTGCACGCTCTGCAGGTGGAGGACGTTTCTGTGGGAAACAGATGGGGCTTGGGTTCAGTGGTCCTGCTGTTAAAAGGTTACAGGTTACTGAAGAATAACCAGCTGCTCAGGGTCAGATTTGATAGGATGATTAATGGAAGGAGTTCCATAAACTCTGGTTCTCGCTACAGATTTAGCTCTGCAGACCGGTCTAGCCACTCTGCACTGTAGCAGAGACAGTCTGAAGGACAACTGTAGACTCCGTCCCACGGCTGTGTGGGTCATGGCCAGACAAACTGTGCATTTGATTTGTCCTCGGAAATCCCCACCTCCGAGTAGGAAAAATCAAATGATAAGCAGGATACTGGGAAAAAGGGGATCTCTGATTAGGCCGTTTTCCACCAATCAGTTCCAGCTGAGCAGCAGAAGACGGGTGGATAAATGTTTCCTAAGCATTCACTTCCTGTTTAGCTTTGATGTTTTTATCACTTCATTCTTTCTGTTCTGGTTAGAAGAGCTTCACGAACGCGGTTAATACGATTGTTCAGGGGTGGGAATTGAACGCATCATTTAGATTAATGTTTTACTCAAGTCCCACTCGTAGATGTTTAGTTTAAAGAGCTTAAAACCAAACAAAAAAACATTAATATAATTAAGGGCAGAGAAAATGTTACTACCAAACTTATTTATTAGCCTCGAGGGCCTTAAAGTAGCTTTTCCCCTTTCAGAAATGATGTATGATTGTCAGAAATCCGTAAAAGTGATTATCTCATCATGTACTGTGATGTAATGTAGAAACTAAGACAAGTTTTTTTTGTTTTTGCTAACCACGCCCCCTGCCCCACAGAGCTCTGTGCAATAGGAAACGGAGTGCAGACCAGAACTAACCAATATCATTAGACTACCGCTTAGATGCTTCAAATTTAAGGAATACCTCGACTGATGCAGAGTTGATGAACTTTTCACGAACAAGTAAGTCTCTAAGATATAAATATATGAGAACAAAACATGACATGAGAATAATACTTGTAAAACAACATGTTTTAGCTGTTTGTCGGCTACAGAAGAACATTTATAAACAGAAATGTGAAGTCACCATCTTAAAAGGAACTCCGGCTAAGAGGACGTGGATGCCCTAATAAGCCACAAGTTTTCTGTTGTATCAAACTATGTTGTTAGAAACACACAAAATATAGCCGTTTATTTATATATCTAAAATATTAAGTACATTTTTTGACATATGCAGGACGCCATGCTTTCTGCATGCAATGCACTCTAGGGGCGATGACGGATATTGGCTGCACTTGGAAGAATAGCTATTGACGCTAGTGTTTGTTTACGCGCTCACTGTATTAATTATTAAGTAAAATGCTGCATTGTGCTGCTTTTGGATGTAATTTCCAGTCAGAGGGCAACAAGGGGAGTGATGTGACTTTACACAGCTTTCCCACTGGCAAGAAGAGGAGAAAGCAGTGGGAAGATGCCTGTGGACGGACACAACTTCCCAAAGAAAGTTTCAGAATTCTAAAAGAAGGCTGTGTTCCCAACATTTTTCTCCTGATGCGTTTGAGGCTTATAGTCAACCACAAATACTTTAAGAGCTCACCGGAGCGGCTGGGTATAAGAGAGGGCAGAAACTAAATGCTTTACTGGCCATTTTCCCACACAAGGGGCCTAAACACCCTCGGAGAGACGAGAGACGCTGGACACTCTCCTGAGCCGACAATCAGCTCCTGCAGCTGCCGCTTCTGTCACGTTCAGCGAACCATCTGACACGCCACTCGCCATGGATGCAGCTGAACATTCACCTCTCTCGTCAGTAAAACAAGCAGTAAGTGTAGCAACAGTGTTCTCCAAATATATATCGTAAATCCTCTAATACAGGCAGGCATTCAATTAAAGGCCGGGTCTCCAATTTTGGCCGCGCCATCTCCAACGCCAGTTCAAAGCGTTCTAGAGAAGTTGTCGGAGTGGCCAATCCGTAACTTTCCTCTTCAGCCAAAAGAACCAACGACAAGCTGGATAAAATCTGTTGCTGTTCCAACTGCTGCAACGGTTCATTTCACAATAAAAGCTGAACCATCACGACCCAGGTTTGGGTCTCGCTAGATGCCAACAAACTGTCGTGACCTGGGAGTATCTCAAGACTGGTGGTCGGCTGCCGTGGCTCTTCTACATGCTCCGGCTCCACAAGGTCAAGCTGGACCTCTACACCTCATGATCTAGACGGGTACGTAGACCGACAAATGGCGTTGAATGTGTTTATGAACCTTCTAACCAAAGCTTAATGCGAAGACATCACCTTCATTTCCCCTCAGAACTAATCGTTTCTTCGGATTTGCTGGTTCTGAGCAACATTCCACACTACACCATTCTCCGTCTCACTCACCTTAGTTACACCATACATTTAGTGTTAAAGTTAGTCTAGTTTAATTTGTTTAGTAATAAATCTTTAAACTTTTAAACTTGACTCGCTCTTCTGTTGTCTCTGAGTGAATTCGAAGCTGTTATCTAATCCCTGCAATAAAAAGTTCCAATCTTCTGGTTAAACAGTACCCACAGTCAGATCCATAAGGTGGATTTCATATTTACTATGGAATCATATGGCTTATGGCTTATTAAATAACATGTAATTTAAATCATTACAAAACACTTCTGGTAACCCTTAGCTACTTTCTACTGTCGCTTATAATTCCTGCAGGTCAGAGCGTCCTTCTGGACATTCGGAAGGGAATGCTGTAGTGAAGTGTTTCGTTTACAAAATGAAACGGCTCTAAGGCCTAGCTCCCAAGCCGCTGAGAAAATGTGCGTGCGCGGCACGCGCCGTGAGACGGGGTGGAGGGTTAAACTCCTTCAGTCATGAGCAAGTGTATCGGCTCCTTTGTACTAGGAATCAGTTGTTTTTGCGATTACCTTGTTTCTTTCTATTTTTCATGTTTTTTTCTCTCTGATTGTGCAATCATATGAGCAAATACAAACATATAAACATAAAATCAACATTAATTTAAAAATCATCTTAAATAATCAAGATCTCAGTTTCAGTTAAATAATCGTGATGATCATGTCTGCCATAATCGAGCAGCCCTGGTTGCTACTACTGCGCGGAAACCCCGTCGTACCTGCGCTGGACCTGAAGCTCCTCTAGGCGCCGCAGCAGAGACAGACAATGGGCCTCCACAGCGCTGGCGTAGCCTCGAGCAAAGGCTCTGATCTCACTGGCTGTTGCCTCGACCCGTACCTTCAAATTCTCCTGGGAAGTTTCCACCTGTAGCAGGATATCAGGAAAAATTAAACAAAATAAAAAACAAAGCTTAACAAGCCGCACCACCAAGTGTGTTTTAGATAACAAAAGAATGGGCTTAGAGACGGCCTCTCTGAACCTTCTGTAGAACTTCCTCCATCTGCTCCAGTCGGGGTCGTAGACGCGTGCTGACCAGATCTCGAATACGGTCACCGTGATGGTCGATGACGTCGTGCGTAGGACAGCAGTGGTGGTCTCTGTGCAGCGTGGAAGCGCAGTCCAGACATACGGGTAGGTCGCAGAGCTGACAGAAGAGCCTGAGCTCCTGGCCGGGGTGAAGAGAGCAGAGGATGGGACGACCAAGACGTCCACGAGCCTTCAGGTCCTCCACCGCCTGAACAGAGTGAGACGCTGTTCGCTTCTGACGTCTGGACACGATGCAGAGAGCAGGTTTTCACACATCTGGATAGGCTCATGAGCACCACACCACTAGGTGGCAGTAACTCCCACATTAATGACAAATCAAAATACAAAGGAAGGTTTCAGCTTTGCTGAAGATTCTCTGAACACTTTAGTATTAATCTTTGTTGCTTAACTGAGTTCTTGAGGGTTTAAGTGGACGGGCCATGCCCTGGATCAACACAAACGCTTTGTTGAGTGTTAGGGTGAGAGCATCTGGACAAAATGAGACAAACTAAGGCCGTGTAATTCAACTATTTGTTCTAAATTACTACCTAAACAAGTTAGTTAACAAAAGTGTGTATTCTTATTGAAATGTTTTCACATTAAACTTTGTAAACATGTTCATATTGTCCTTCTGAAGGCTAGTCTGAAGGTGTTTTGAAAAAATGATCAGCTCAACAAAGGTGATAGAATGAGGGCAAAACCCACTGAACCGTTTATGACATGCATCAACTGACCTGTAGTAAAGCTTCCAGAGATATTATTTTGTACATTCCCATGCCCCGAGGTTCATGAAAAGCACATTTATACAAGTTCTAACCCCGTTTGGATAGTAGTGGCTCAGCTTTTGTTTAGATACATTTTAGGCATGTGCATTTTAATATAGTGGCTCCAAATCAGGAATGTCCGTAGGGCTATTTGTGGCCTTCTGTGATTTTGCACAGCCCCCAAATGCATATCTAGAAGGATGAACTTTGTTTCTTTAATAGGCTAGAGCAGTGGCGGCTCCAGAAATTTTTTTTCTGCAGGTGCTATGAAGGAGCTAGTTTTTTTATTGAGGGTGCTATGAAGGAAGTGGTCATGCGTACCTATTGTTCTCTAAAACACCTTCAACACTAGCAGATACACATGCGTGCACAAAACCTCAACAACACCTGAAACAATCATTAATATACATCATAAACATATGAACAATCGCTGACTTGTCCATGAAATCATAAACACATACAGCCACACAGAAAACCATCTATAGTGTTGCAAGGTAAGCTAACGTTAGTGTTAGCATTTCCAGCGGCAAAACCCTCGACTACTGCGGCGGTTGAGGGTTGACTCTCTTCATCCAGATCCGTATGTTTTTGTGGGTCTGAGATCACTTCCAAAGATTCATTTGTTTCTGACTGAACCCGTGGAAATGTGGGCAACAAAAACCGATCCATTTTACCACTAGCTCTACCTTTCACTCGTTCGCAGGTGGAAAATGAGGTCAAAGGTTAACATCAATTTCCTGTTTTGGTTTAAGATTTTATTATCTACATGATAATTTCCTCATTATTTTTGTTTTGTATGTTAAATATTATCACAACCACACGTTACATTAAAATTAAATTGTAAAAAACGTATAAACGGAAGTCGCCTTTCCAGCTCACCACTCAGTCATCGTTTCTTCAGATTCACGATCAGAGTTTCCAACGTACCGATCAATCCAACGAACTATCAGCTCATAGTAAGTTATCTTACTTACTTCTGGAAAGCCCGGCATTTCCGTGTCACTTCGTTGACGCTCGAACGCTTGGGGGTTTCCTAGATCAGCCGGCGTTTCACCGACACTATCACTTCCGCGTCTGTGAAACCACGCTCCCTATTGAATTATCGTATGATCACATTCTCTTTTTGGGGGTAAAACTCAAGTGCCAGACCGTAGGTACTGACACGCGATCGTTCATGTCGGTTCATTTCCTTTAATGTTTTCTGTCTTTTATTTGCGCCTGATGTGTATCGCTGCTGTGGAGCGGGGCGCTTCACCTTGTCCTCCGACGCACAGATCACAGCAGGGAGCGCTCAGCTGTTTTCGCGGTCGGTAGATCTGCCTCCTGAGCACGGCCACAGTAACAATCAGGTGTCGCCACCTCAAAAACTAATTTAACACGCGATCGTTCATGTCAGTTCATTTCCTTTAATGTTTTCTGTCTTTTATTTGCGGCTGATGCGTTTCGCTGCATGCTGTGGAGCGGGGCGCTGCGCGCATCACCTTGTCCTCCGACGCACTGATCACTGATACAGCCGCCAAACAGCAAGCGCTCCGCTGTTTTTGCGGTCGGTAGATCTTTTAGAACTGCAGTTCAAAGGTAACTCATGAGGTGAATATATATGAACCCAGGTAGCAGTTTTTTTTAGGATTGAGAGGAGATGCAGGAAGATAATAAACAGACAGGACAGAAAAATAGTCAAATAAAAACAAGTTAGTTTTTGTACCTGCTGGTTGCAACAAACAGACACCATTGAAGGTAATCAGAAGTGAGGAACAGAAAATGAAATAATTATTTTAATGTTTAGAGCAGCAGGAACTCTGAGAGGCTGCAGGTGCATCAGTGAGTTTGCGGCCGCTGCGCAGGGGGAGGGGGGAGAGGGCTGAAGCAGAAACTACCGTTGTTAAAAGAAATGTGTTTAACTTTGAAAATGTGGGCGCAATTTTAATTGTCAAAAACTCCAGCGAACCATTAGTTCATTTTGCTCAAATAGAAATAGAGGCCTGCCTCTAATACTGGCCCCCCTTCCAATAAAGGCCTGGAGCTTGATGAGCTCGAGTCAAATACAGGCCCGGGCCTGTATTAGAGGATTCACGGTATCCTCAGAAGTTTTAATCAACACCAAGCAGATAAATTCTACCTCCGGCTACTAAAACTCAATATCTGCAGTCTCTTTAAAAGTCGGACTCTGAAATGTTCTCCAACTCAATATCTATGTTTTAAAAAATGTGATTTTTAGTACCAAACTAGAGGTATTTGGATTTTGTTTCAACTCTAGAAAGGTTCTATCCCAAGAGCTGTAGCACAGCAGAGAAGGAAGATGAGGAGCTTGTGAGAATGTGCACCACCTGTGGGCTAAACTTTTCAATCTGATTGTGACATAAATAGACATGAAGCTAGGAGGTCTGGGCCTACTCCACCTGTGAGCTTGGCAGCAGAACTCGCAAAGGTTGACCGAGCAGACCTCACAGCGGCTCTCAGCGCCTCCTTCCCCGCACAGGTCGCATCCCAGCGGGCCGTTGGTCACCAGGGTCTCCAGGAACACTTCGTCCAGCGCCAGGTGGTCTGTACTCAGTCCGGCCGGACCCTGCTGAGGGAGGTCCACTTCGGAGTCACACTCGGGACACAGTACCGTTGTTGTGACGCTTTGTCGGCTTGTCTTCACCGCCTCTCCGCAACTCCCGTTCCCACGAGAAGACACCGAGAACGCCTCCAGCTGGCCGATGCAGTCGGAGCAGAACGTGTGAAGGCAGGGGAGGATTTTAGGGTCCCGGTAAAGGCGTTTACACACGCTACAGACCGCTCTGGGGTTCACCGGAGCGGGTTTAGGTGCATCCGAGCTCAGGGTGGGCTCTTTCTGCTCCGGCTGCGACATGGTTCGCTTTGAACGAGTCCAGGTACAGAAATCAGAGCAGTCAAACACCCAGCTCAGCAAAGTTGTCAAAGCTGGAAAACTTCCGTAAAGTCTTTTGGAGCATGTCCAGATAGCTATATAATCCGCTTCTCACGCGATAACCTGCGACATATTAAACGCCCCACACTAATAAACCACTTTTCTTCACCTCAACAGCCCCTTCGAAAAAGTTCGGTGACGTGTTCAGAGACGCCTGGGACATACGAACTTCACCCTGACAAACCAATGAGCCGCCCATTGGTTCTGCTGCCAAGCTCACAGGTGGAGTAGGCCCAACTTAACTGAAGCCTAAAGTTTGTATTTTATTCTGATTTAAATCAGCCTGAGCATTCTCAGACATGGTGTCTGTTTGTTGCAACCAGCAGGTACAAAAACTAACTTGTTTTTATTTGACTATTTTTCTGTCCTGTCTGTTTATTATCTTCCTGCATCTCCTCTCAATCCTAAAAAAAACTGCTACCTGGGTTCATATATATTCACCTCATGAGTTACCTTTGAACTGCAGTTCTAAAAGATCTACCGACCGCAAAAACAGCGGAGCGCTTGCTGTTTGGCGGCTGTATCAGTGATCAGTGCGTCGGAGGACAAGGTGATGCGCGCAGCGCCCCGCTCCACAGCATGCAGCGAAACGCATCAGCCGCAAATAAAAGACAGAAAACATTAAAGGAAATGAACTGACATGAACGATCGCGTGTTAAATTAGTTTTTGAGGTGGCGACACCTGATTGTTACTGTGGCCGTGCTCAGGAGGCAGATCTACCGACCGCGAAAACAGCTGAGCGCTCCCTGCTGTGATCTGTGCGTCGGAGGACAAGGTGAAGCGCCCCGCTCCACAGCAGCGATACACATCAGGCGCAAATAAAAGACAGAAAACATTAAAGGAAATGAACCGACATGAACGATCGCGTGTCAGTACCTACGGTCTGGCACTTGAGTTTTACCCCCAAAAAGAGAATGTGATCATACGATAATTCAATAGGGAGCGTGGTTTCACAGACGCGGAAGTGATAGTGTCGGTGAAACGCCGGCTGATCTAGGAAACCCCCAAGCGTTCGAGCGTCAACGAAGTGACACGGAAATGCCGGGCTTTCCAGAAGTAAGTAAGATAACTTACTATGAGCTGATAGTTCGTTGGATTGATCGGTACGTTGGAAACTCTGATCGTGAATCTGAAGAAACGATGACTGAGTGGTGAGCTGGAAAGGCGACTTCCGTTTATACGTTTTTTACAATTTAATTTTAATGTAACGTGTGGTTGTGATAATATTTAACATACAAAACAAAAATAATGAGGAAATTATCATGTAGATAATAAAATCTTAAACCAAAACAGGAAATTGATGTTAACCTTTGACCTCATTTTCCACCTGCGAACGAGTGAAAGGTAGAGCTAGTGGTAAAATGGATCGGTTTTTGTTGCCCACATTTCCACGGGTTCAGTCAGAAACAAATGAATCTTTGGAAGTGATCTCAGACCCACAAAAACATACGGATCTGGATGAAGAGAGTCAACCCTCAACCGCCGCAGTAGTCGAGGGTTTTGCCGCTGGAAATGCTAACACTAACGTTAGCTTACCTTGCAACACTATAGATGGTTTTCTGTGTGGCTGTATGTGTTTATGATTTCATGGACAAGTCAGCGATTGTTCATATGTTTATGATGTATATTAATGATTGTTTCAGGTGTTGTTGAGGTTTTGTGCACGCATGTGTATCTGCTAGTGTTGAAGGTGTTTTAGAGAACAATAGGTACGCATGACCACTTCCTTCATAGCACCCTCAATAAAAAAACTAGCTCCTTCATAGCACCTGCAGAAAAAAAATTTCTGGAGCCGCCACTGCTCTAGCCTATTAAAGAAACAAAGTTCATCCTTCTAGATATGCATTTGGGGGCTGTGCAAAATCACAGAAGGCCACAAATAGCCCTACGGACATTCCTGATTTGGAGCCACTATATTAAAATGCACATGCCTAAAATGTATCTAAACAAAAGCTGAGCCACTACTATCCAAACGGGGTTAGAACTTGTATAAATGTGCTTTTCATGAACCTCGGGGCATGGGAATGTACAAAATAATATCTCTGGAAGCTTTACTACAGGTCAGTTGATGCATGTCATAAACGGTTCAGTGGGTTTTGCCCTCATTCTATCACCTTTGTTGAGCTGATCATTTTTTCAAAACACCTTCAGACTAGCCTTCAGAAGGACAATATGAACATGTTTACAAAGTTTAATGTGAAAACATTTCAATAAGAATACACACTTTTGTTAACTAACTTGTTTAGGTAGTAATTTAGAACAAATAGTTGAATTACACGGCCTTAGTTTGTCTCATTTTGTCCAGATGCTCTCACCCTAACACTCAACAAAGCGTTTGTGTTGATCCAGGGCATGGCCCGTCCACTTAAACCCTCAAGAACTCAGTTAAGCAACAAAGATTAATACTAAAGTGTTCAGAGAATCTTCAGCAAAGCTGAAACCTTCCTTTGTATTTTGATTTGTCATTAATGTGGGAGTTACTGCCACCTAGTGGTGTGGTGCTCATGAGCCTATCCAGATGTGTGAAAACCTGCTCTCTGCATCGTGTCCAGACGTCAGAAGCGAACAGCGTCTCACTCTGTTCAGGCGGTGGAGGACCTGAAGGCTCGTGGACGTCTTGGTCGTCCCATCCTCTGCTCTCTTCACCCCGGCCAGGAGCTCAGGCTCTTCTGTCAGCTCTGCGACCTACCCGTATGTCTGGACTGCGCTTCCACGCTGCACAGAGACCACCACTGCTGTCCTACGCACGACGTCATCGACCATCACGGTGACCGTATTCGAGATCTGGTCAGCACGCGTCTACGACCCCGACTGGAGCAGATGGAGGAAGTTCTACAGAAGGTTCAGAGAGGCCGTCTCTAAGCCCATTCTTTTGTTATCTAAAACACACTTGGTGGTGCGGCTTGTTAAGCTTTGTTTTTTATTTTGTTTAATTTTTCCTGATATCCTGCTACAGGTGGAAACTTCCCAGGAGAATTTGAAGGTACGGGTCGAGGCAACAGCCAGTGAGATCAGAGCCTTTGCTCGAGGCTACGCCAGCGCTGTGGAGGCCCATTGTCTGTCTCTGCTGCGGCGCCTAGAGGAGCTTCAGGTCCAGCGCAGGTACGACGGGGTTTCCGCGCAGTAGTAGCAACCAGGGCTGCTCGATTATGGCAGACATGATCATCACGATTATTTAACTGAAACTGAGATCTTGATTATTTAAGATGATTTTTAAATTAATGTTGATTTTATGTTTATATGTTTGTATTTGCTCATATGATTGCACAATCAGAGAGAAAAAAACATGAAAAATAGAAAGAAACAAGGTAATCGCAAAAACAACTGATTCCTAGTACAAAGGAGCCGATACACTTGCTCATGACTGAAGGAGTTTAACCCTCCACCCCGTCTCACGGCGCGTGCCGCGCACGCACATTTTCTCAGCGGCTTGGGAGCTAGGCCTTAGAGCCGTTTCATTTTGTAAACGAAACACTTCACTACAGCATTCCCTTCCGAATGTCCAGAAGGACGCTCTGACCTGCAGGAATTATAAGCGACAGTAGAAAGTAGCTAAGGGTTACCAGAAGTGTTTTGTAATGATTTAAATTACATGTTATTTAATAAGCCATAAGCCATATGATTCCATAGTAAATATGAAATCCACCTTATGGATCTGACTGTGGGTACTGTTTAACCAGAAGATTGGAACTTTTTATTGCAGGGATTAGATAACAGCTTCGAATTCACTCAGAGACAACAGAAGAGCGAGTCAAGTTTAAAAGTTTAAAGATTTATTACTAAACAAATTAAACTAGACTAACTTTAACACTAAATGTATGGTGTAACTAAGGTGAGTGAGACGGAGAATGGTGTAGTGTGGAATGTTGCTCAGAACCAGCAAATCCGAAGAAACGATTAGTTCTGAGGGGAAATGAAGGTGATGTCTTCGCATTAAGCTTTGGTTAGAAGGTTCATAAACACATTCAACGCCATTTGTCGGTCTACGTACCCGTCTAGATCAGGAGGTGTAGAGGTCCAGCTTGACCTTGTGGAGCCGGAGCATGTAGAAGAGCCACGGCAGCCGACCACCAGTCTTGAGATACTCCCAGGTCACGACAGTTTGTTGGCATCTAGCGAGACCCAAACCTGGGTCGTGATGGTTCAGCTTTTATTGTGAAATGAACCGTTGCAGCAGTTGGAACAGCAACAGATTTTATCCAGCTTGTCGTTGGTTCTTTTGGCTGAAGAGGAAAGTTACGGATTGGCCACTCCGACAACTTCTCTAGAACGCTTTGAACTGGCGTTGGAGATGGCGCGGCCAAAATTGGAGACCCGGCCTTTAATTGAATGCCTGCCTGTATTAGAGGATTTACGATATATATTTGGAGAACACTGTTGCTACACTTACTGCTTGTTTTACTGACGAGAGAGGTGAATGTTCAGCTGCATCCGTGGCGAGTGGCGTGTCAGATGGTTCGCTGAACGTGACAGAAGCGGCAGCTGCAGGAGCTGATTGTCGGCTCAGGAGAGTGTCCAGCGTCTCTCGTCTCTCCGAGGGTGTTTAGGCCCCTTGTGTGGGAAAATGGCCAGTAAAGCATTTAGTTTCTGCCCTCTCTTATACCCAGCCGCTCCGGTGAGCTCTTAAAGTATTTGTGGTTGACTATAAGCCTCAAACGCATCAGGAGAAAAATGTTGGGAACACAGCCTTCTTTTAGAATTCTGAAACTTTCTTTGGGAAGTTGTGTCCGTCCACAGGCATCTTCCCACTGCTTTCTCCTCTTCTTGCCAGTGGGAAAGCTGTGTAAAGTCACATCACTCCCCTTGTTGCCCTCTGACTGGAAATTACATCCAAAAGCAGCACAATGCAGCATTTTACTTAATAATTAATACAGTGAGCGCGTAAACAAACACTAGCGTCAATAGCTATTCTTCCAAGTGCAGCCAATATCCGTCATTGCCCCTAGAGTGCATTGCATGCAGAAAGCATGGCGTCCTGCATATGTCAAAAAATGTACTTAATATTTTAGATATATAAATAAACGGCTATATTTTGTGTGTTTCTAACAACATAGTTTGATACAACAGAAAACTTGTGGCTTATTAGGGCATCCACGTCCTCTTAGCCGGAGTTCCTTTTAAGATGGTGACTTCACATTTCTGTTTATAAATGTTCTTCTGTAGCCGACAAACAGCTAAAACATGTTGTTTTACAAGTATTATTCTCATGTCATGTTTTGTTCTCATATATTTATATCTTAGAGACTTACTTGTTCGTGAAAAGTTCATCAACTCTGCATCAGTCGAGGTATTCCTTAAATTTGAAGCATCTAAGCGGTAGTCTAATGATATTGGTTAGTTCTGGTCTGCACTCCGTTTCCTATTGCACAGAGCTCTGTGGGGCAGGGGGCGTGGTTAGCAAAAACAAAAAAAACTTGTCTTAGTTTCTACATTACATCACAGTACATGATGAGATAATCACTTTTACGGATTTCTGACAATCATACATCATTTCTGAAAGGGGAAAAGCTACTTTAAGGCCCTCGAGGCTAATAAATAAGTTTGGTAGTAACATTTTCTCTGCCCTTAATTATATTAATGTTTTTTTGTTTGGTTTTAAGCTCTTTAAACTAAACATCTACGAGTGGGACTTGAGTAAAACATTAATCTAAATGATGCGTTCAATTCCCACCCCTGAACAATCGTATTAACCGCGTTCGTGAAGCTCTTCTAACCAGAACAGAAAGAATGAAGTGATAAAAACATCAAAGCTAAACAGGAAGTGAATGCTTAGGAAACATTTATCCACCCGTCTTCTGCTGCTCAGCTGGAACTGATTGGTGGAAAACGGCCTAATCAGAGATCCCCTTTTTCCCAGTATCCTGCTTATCATTTGATTTTTCCTACTCGGAGGTGGGGATTTCCGAGGACAAATCAAATGCACAGTTTGTCTGGCCATGACCCACACAGCCGTGGGACGGAGTCTACAGTTGTCCTTCAGACTGTCTCTGCTACAGTGCAGAGTGGCTAGACCGGTCTGCAGAGCTAAATCTGTAGCGAGAACCAGAGTTTATGGAACTCCTTCCATTAATCATCCTATCAAATCTGACCCTGAGCAGCTGGTTATTCTTCAGTAACCTGTAACCTTTTAACAGCAGGACCACTGAACCCAAGCCTCATCTGTTTCCCACAGAAACGTCCTCCACCTGCAGAGCGTGCAGCTGCAGCAGGGCCTGCTGGATGTCCGAGGCAGTGTGGCGTTTGCCGAGCGCCTCCTGAGCTGTGGGTCTGACGCCGAGATCCTCAGCGCTAAAGGAGTGACTCTAAGACGACTCGCCAGCCTGGCAGAGAGAGGCTATAACCCTTGTCCAGCGGCGGTCGCCCCAGACGATAGCAGCAGCATTTGCTTCCTGCCCAGAGAGCCAGCCGGAGAGGTGGAGGGCTACCCAGTGGTGGGTGTGATTAACTGGAGGACGCTGGATGTCAGCAGGTGCACCATTGAAGGAGAAGGTAAACAAAGGCAAAGTGGTGTTCTGTCTGTGTTCCTGTAAGATAAAGAGAAGGTGATCTCGGGACTGGGTTTGCACATCCTGTTTTACTGGTCACAGAAACAAGTCAGTGGTCAGACTGAGCTGATAGACCAGTGGGCGTTCCAGAATTCCTCCTGAACCAAAGGAATGCCGGTGTGACTCAACATGCCTTCTGGGAATGTCCTTAGAGGATGCTGTCAGGTCCAGACATGTAGACAGAAAGCTTCAGGACACTTTCTGGAGACAGTCATTTATTTAGAGCAGACTCTTCAGAAGGTCTGGAAACAAAAACGTGTTCTACTCATGTTCTCACCTCAGGAACCCACAGTAGGTTTGCTCGGGTTATATATGGCCCGCGGGCCTTGACTCTGACATATGTGCTGTAAAGGGTTGTTTTAGCACACACTGGCTCAAGAAAGTGACTTGAAAATTTGCAAAGTATTTAAGCTTTAAGGCTTCACGACCTCAGAAATGTAAAAACTTTAACACAAATAATCGTTATTTCAGTTTTGACCCAAATTAATCATCTATCAGCGGTTTAACATCTGAGGCATCTCTGTCCACCGTTTCTGCAGTAGCAGCGGTTTCATCAACATCAGCGGCTTCAGGATCTCAGCTGCTTGTGGACAACACTGAGTGATCAGATAATCAGTCTGACAGATGTCCAGCGTGACATTAATCATTGATGCGAACACAAAGTCTGTCAGCAGTGACACGACTGCAGCAGCAGCTGGATGTCTCGAGTGAGTGAAAGCGGGAGAGTCTGGAAAACTGATCAGCATCCGGAGCTGATCTGGAAGCAGTTGGCAGCGTTAGGAAGGACGGGAGTCATGGGTGGGCTGGGGAATGAGAGTTAATTCCACATTACAGCAGGCTAAACATCCAAATCCACATTAAGAGTCAACAGCAGATCTTAAAAGAGCTTCCTGGCTGGTGCCCCTTACACATGAACAAGCTATGTTTAGATTTATCCTCTTAGTCCTGCAGTACATTGTCTGTGTTCAGCTGTGTGACCTTTAACCTTTAGCCTGGTTACAGGTCTGCGGCGGGGCAGCGAGGGCCAGCCGGGCCGTTTTAGCCTGGTGTGTCGAGACTCAGCCGGGGAGCAGATGGCTCGAGGAGGAGAGCAGGTCCTCGTCAGCATCGTCCACAAAGAGAAGAAGAACTGGTGAGGGCTCTGCCCGCCTCTGTGGGGGATGCTTTGTTGGTAATGATTATTTGGTATGTATACTTTATAATACCCATTAATGGTTGTGTCCTTCAGCGCTGTGGAGACGGTGGTGGTGGACAACGCTGATGGAACGTACAGCGTTTCATACAAGCCTGAGGAACCAGGACCTTACTCTGTGTGGGTTTGTGTCAAAGCCCAGCATGTGAAGGTACTAAGGGCTGCACCCAAACAAAGGATACAGGTAGACAGGTGCTGGACTCACCTGGAGCTCACAGCTCCCCTCTCCTCCCTGCAGGGTTCTCCGTTCCTGCTGAATGTGAAGAAGAAGTTCAGACACCACGGTGGGACGTTCCACTGCTGCTCCTTCTGCTCCAGTGGAGGAGCCAAAGAGGCAATCTGTGGCTGCGCAGGAACGATGTCAGGTACTGGGGACAAGTCCGCTCACACAGGAAGCTGTCACTGTGTCACACCTGGTCTTTGGTATCTTACCAAGATGTGGAAATGAAAAGTTCTAAACTTTTAGTTTGTAGCAGGCGCTCTATAAACACGAGCTAACGCTCCAACCATTCTATCTCTGTTGGGGTCATCATGAGGGTCTTTGTTGGCCTGATGAATGCGAGATGTTTCATTCACATGGACCAGAGCGTGAGCCCGTCTAGATGTCCTTCCTGTGTCTCTGCAGGAGGGTTTAAAGGCTGTGGTCACGGTCATAAGGGACATCCCGGGAAGCCCCACTGGTCCTGCTGCGGCAGCACCACTGAGAAGTCTGAGTGTTTACCTCCGAGCGTGTTGGCTGCTGTCTCTCCTCGTGGACATCTGCGCACCGTGGAGCTGTGAGGGACCCAGAGATGAGAACACAGATCCATCTATATTCTTGTCGTTGTTATAAACAACATTACAATGGAACAAATGCAGAGCTCTCAGTCAAAAACGGTCTGTTCTCTGGTGTTCACATGTCTGTGGACAATTATTTCACCTAAATGAAAATGTGAAATCATTCTTTACTTGTTTCCATCATATAGAGGATTTTTTAATAAATGACATCTAAAAAAAAACACTATTAAATACAGCCATGATGTGTTGAGCTCCACTGTATCCCCTCTGTGGGCAGATCATGGCTCAGAAGAACAACACATCTCCTGGTAGACCATGCTGACTAACACTAACCCAGCTGAATGTTGCCGACCACAGTCTCCTCCAGTAACTGTAACAGCCCAAACCACTACACCACCTCCACCTTGGGTCTAATCCTAACCCTGGCTCTAACGAGGTTACCCTAACCCAAACCACTACACCACCTCCACCTTGGGTCTAATCCTAACCCTGGCCCTAACAGGGTTACCCTAACCGAAACCACTACAACACCTCCACCTTGCTTTTGTTGTGGCTCTAATCCTAAAGGTTGGTTTATGCTTGACGCGTCCGTGAGGTCCGCACGGCTCCGCGCGGAAAAGTTGCGTCATTTTAACAACCACGCCCCTCCACCGCACCTCCGCACGGCCCAAAATTTCCGCAGCGCGCACCTAGGAAATTTTCTAACCACGCGGACGGTCGGACGCGGAAAAGCATGGCGGACCGGCAAGAACTAGTATGGCAGAGGTTCATAAATACAGACATTTGTGTGATTCAGCTCTCAGAGATCACCGCGATCAACATGTTGTTAATAATTCTTGGTGAGAAATAGCTCGCACTGTCAGAAAAGACAAGGACCCTGTTAAAAATGCTGGAATGCCATGTTGTAAACAACAGTAATTTTTACTTCTACTATGGTGTAGTGTTGGATGCATGTCGTAGAGCTCCATGCTGCCCCCTACAGTTTGGGAGAATATCGGCTCACCGCAGAGACAAGCCGCTTGAACCATAAACGCTGCAAGTTGTGAAGCGCGTTCCATCCGCGAGCCGCATCACCAAGCGGAAAGTAAATGCGTCAACCATAAACCAAGCTTAACCCTGGCTCAAACAGGGTTACCCTAACCCAAACCACTACACCACCTCCACCTTGCTAGTGTCTTGCCTCTAACAGGGTTTCTACACCAAAGAGGTTCCTGTGCTTGTCCTTAAAAAATAGTCTTGTGACCCATAATATCTGTCAGACAGATTAGACATACACGACTATTGTAAGAAAACCACCCATTTGTAGCTTTTCCCTCCCCCGCCCCCAAATTCCAGGATTTTAGGTAAGAACATATACAATTCTTGAAAGCAGAAAAACTGAATTTATTGGAGGAAAGAAGCTCTGAGTGTCTCTAAATGAGCTGCTGATCTGAGTAAAAGTGAAACCAACTCAGAGATTTTAGACTTGGAGCTCATGTTTTCCTCAGCTGTTCTCTTGGAACCAGCAGATGGTGCTGGGAGAACAGCCAGAGCTCTTGGTAATGGGAACACGAAGAACTGGTTCACTACTGGAACTGGAAAAAGTGGACCATCCATCCATTCCCAGTTGCTTAACCTTTTTTTCCTTTCAGGTTTTTATGCCATTAATTTGTGTTTTTTCAAGTAGTGCAGAATCACAAAGGTGGATCTGCACCAGAGTCAGCCCCGCCCATTCACGCAAACTCAGCCCAGCCCACTGACTTCTTCTGTTTGTTTTTTTTTTTGTTTGTTTTGTTTTTTTACTTTATTGCAAACTAACCTGACCTACATGAACTACGGCTGTTACTAGTTTACAGTTGTTAATACTAAATTCCAATTAAGCAAGATAAGTATAATTTGCTACATGAAATGAAAGGTTCTTTTCAGCAAATTTCTGCCCACGGCCGCTCCGACAAAATGCGCCTAAACCAGGGTTTTAGGCTAACCGATTATTGTATGAGCTCTGGTAGTCCAGTGGTGTAACGGTCTGACTTATGCTTCGTTTTGCCCTCTGCTGACGCTGGTTTGACTCTCACTGGGGTCGGCAGTAATGTATTTAGCCAACTGAAACAGATTTAATTTATTAATATTTTAGTTTTATTGATTATTTTCTACAAAATATTTTATGTCTCTAAAAATGTATTTGAATTTGGTTGTTTCTAAGCAGCATTTTAGTTTAAACTCTGGACCCACACTGGCTAAATAAACAAAGAAGGTAAAAACAAACTGATTAGTTGTTATATTTTAAACCGTTTACCAATAAAGGGTTGAAAACACAATATTGGCAAGAGTAGCTAGGAAAAAAAAAGTTGATGCCACGACCGGGAGGAGAACCTGCACAAAACTACACACCAGTCTGACACCATAGTCACCCCACCACTACATCTGTTACAGTATGGTTGGTGCCACGTATCCTATCTAGTGTGTCTTTGTAGACGGATGGATGGTTTTTCTGGCGGTGTCCCAGTAGAAGTCATTTCAGAAGTCATTTTTCAGAAAATCCACAGAATATCCAGATCTGAGAACCAAGACCAGACCTGCTTCAGGGGGAGAAGAAATGCACAGTAGTGGCTTACTTTCTTCCATTTGCAGGAAAAATCTTTACATTCAATTCAGTTCAGAAATACTTTATTAATCCCAGAGGGAAATTGATTGCTGTAGTAGCTCTGAATAATAATAATAATCAAGTCATCCAAGAGTTATTGTATATTACAATGGCTGTTGGCAGGAAGGATCTCCAGTAGCGGTCAGTGTTGCAGCCAAACTGAAGAAGCCTCTGACTGAAGGCACTCTTCCGTTGTCGGACAGTCTTGTGAAGAGAATGCTCAGGCTGATTTAAATCAGAATAAAATACAAACTTTAGGCTTCAGTTAAGCTGCGTGTTTGCGTGTATCTGATGTCGGCAACAGCCGGGAAACGTTTGTGTTTTCTGAAAATAAAATGTTGCTTTTATGTGAGATCAGCTGATGCTGTTTTAACCTCCAACCCTCTCCAAAGCTGCTCTGACTTCTCCAGAGGTTTTGACCCACCCACCCACTCCTTGTTGCAACATGAAAAATAAAGTTTTCACTCTCAGTCCTGCCTCGTGTGATCATTTAAAAATCATTATTCATGTTATTAAAGCATCTCAGATGAACACATGAAGACCCGCTCTGCAACCCTCCTCTTCCTCACATGCTGCAGTTTCTGTAGCACCTGTATTTTTGGGCTCCCATGTTCACTTCTTCATTATTGTCATTTTTTAACTAATTCTTAAACTTTTTCCTCCATTTTTGATTCTGGTCTTTTTAAGTAATTATTCAGTTTGTTCTGAAGTGGAATTACTCAGACTTTGATTTCCCGAGGGGGTCATGGAAAATCAGTCTGTTTCTTTGGGAGCAAAAGTGTTCCTGAGCAGACTTTTCCTGCGTCATTCTCTAGAAAGAAGAGATCATGATAAGACAAACCTGCTGGCTGTAGTATCATTAACACTTGCCCTGGCCAGCAGATGGCATCAGATAGTTTAAAATGACCCTGTCATGACCATTTAAATGTCTCCTGTTATGTTTTTATTAATGCATATCTTCCATGAGTAGCAGTGACATTTGATTGGAAGCTGTCCCAGAAGGACGCTCCAGCTGTCAGGAGCATCTCTGCTGGATCCAACAGGAAGCTCCAGCAGATTGGATCTGAGTGACTTCCTGATTACCGGGCAAAAGTCTGGGGAGGAGAGGTTAAAGAGCTGAGATTAGAGGTCTCACACACACACACAGGTGTGGGTTGTAGATGACGGAGTGGCTTTAGGTGTGTGTTTCTGATTTCTGGCTCTGGTGTTAGTCTAAAGTCCACACTGAGTCTTTGCCAGAACCCATAAACTCCTTGGCCCTCCGTCGAGCTCTCAGGTAATGTTGCTTGTAATTGGGAGAGCCGATGATCATGATGCAGCGTTTTCTCCCAGCTGGGACACACCTTTTCTCGTGTTGAACATTTGACCCACTGAGCTTTTCATGCTGTCATCATCCGCCTGCTGAGAGTCGGTGGAGCCTGGATCCTGCCTCGGCCTTCAGGTGGTCTAAAAGACTTGAAGGTGGGAATTAAAACCATCACATCAAAAGTTGACATCAAGAGAAGTAAATGATCCCTGGGCTGCTTCATTTTTGAAGCTTTAAAAATAACTAGGACCTGTTTTATTATTGGATCTGCAGCGTGGGAGATGCCTTCAGTTTTTATTCAGCCCCTGAATCACCTGAGACTCCTGCGGCTTCGTGAGAATCACTCCCTTGAAGGCATATTTGTTCATTTTTAAGGGTTTCGGGGTTTAAGATGATGCAATTTTACCTTTTGTAGACAGCTTCCTGAACAGCCTCTGTTTAGAGAAATAGCGCTGACACCAGAACTTCCAGAATTCCAACTTCACTAGAATTTCCAGTAACCGTCAGTTTGACGGCAGCCATTTTGGCCATTAAATGCAGGCTGGTGATGACAGGAACAAAACGGTTCAAGTGTATTATTAATTAACTCTTTATGGATGTGTGAACCTAATAATGAGGTATGGAAATATCCTTTTAATCCAAACCTTGAAAAGAAGTCTCCGTTGTTTGCTGGGCGACCGACATGGATCTTTTTCGTCTGACGGCTTGTGGGAAACAAAGACAAAAACAACCGTGTTTTTGGACACATTATTTTATGGAAATTCTAACCCAAATAAAGAACAAACAGAAATAGGAAAAGCCCGGAGATCCATCTGACTAAAGTTATTACATCCAAATATGAAAACAGTCAAAACGACAGAGTTCTAGTGTTAAAGCTGCAATGACCAATTAGCCTAAAAATGGTTTTCATGCCTCCTAACGTTCTACATGAATGAATATGTTTATTTAAGTGTCATGCACAACACGTGCCCAGACCAGACAGGCTCATAAGACACTTTTAAACATAAAGAAGTGGCCGTACATTTACACAACCTTTATTTTACATCAGGGGTGGAGTAAGGGAGGCACTTATGGGGCTTAAGCCCAAGCTGTTTTTGCAGAAGCCCTGTGTCTTTTGTGATGCATGGCCATCTTGTTTTCCATCAGTTCCAGTTCTGAAGTCCTGCTTTTGAACCAATACCATTTCAGTCCTGGTGTTTGATGTTTTCTTTTCATTCATGATGGTTTGCCTTAACAGTCCTATTACGGATCAGCACCTCCAAATCTGAGGCCATGGTCCTCGACCGGAAAAGGGTGGCTTGCCAACTCCGGGTCGGGAGAGAGGTCCTACCTCAAGTGGAGGAGTTTAAGTATCTCGGGGTCTTGTTCACGAGTGAGGGTAGGAGGGATCGGGAGATCGACAGGCGGATTGGTTCGGCGTCTGCAGTGATGCGGACGCTGAGCTGATCTGTTGTGGTGAAGAGGGAGCTGAGCCAGAAAGCCAGGCTCTCGATTTACCGGTCGATCTACGTCCCAATCCTCACCTATGGTCATGAGCTTTGGGTAATGACCGAAAGAACGAGACCGCGGATACAAGCGGCCGAAATAAGTTTCCTCCGTAGGGTGGCCGGGCTCAGCCTTAGAGATAGGGTGAGGAGCTCGGACATTCGGGAGGGACTCGGAGTAGAACCGCTGCTCCTCCACATCGAAAGGAGTCAGTTGAGGTGGTTTGGGCATCTGGTCAGGATGCCTCCTGGACGCCTCCCTGGGGAGGTGTTTCGGGCATGTCCTGCCGGCAGGAGGCCCCCGGGTCGACCCAGGACACGGTGGAGAGGTTGCATCTCCAATTTGGTCCGGGAACGCCTTGAAGTCCTGCCGGAGGAGCTGGTGGAGGTGAACGGGGAGAGGACGGTCTGGAGCTCCCTAGTTGGGATGCTGCCCCCACGACCTGGACCCGGATAAGCGGAGGAAGACGACGACGAGTCCTATTGCATTCACATTAGCCACTGGATAATAGCCAGCGTCAGGGCTAAGCCCCGGGTGAATGGAATATCTGGCTCCTCCTCTGTTTTCCATAGCAGGATAAAGTACCATTTGTCTGTTTCCACGCTCTCTATAAATTTTGCTAATGTTAAAATTTCTTGGTCAAAAAGCCAACTTAACATTTCACCATCTGCAGAACAAATGAGGATTTTTACTCTGGATCTTTTCCAACAGGGACATTCTTAGATCGTTATGTGATGGACTATAAAACAAGAAATGAAATTGAACTAAGTCACATAAAACACACTGACGTCGCACCTCCGCTAACCCTTGGTGTCGCCCCACTTCAATAGAAAGAGGCTGGTGTCACGGAGTGTGCAGGTGAGTGCAGCGGAGGTGAGGATCCAAAATGCGGGCAAGAAGGCAATTTTAAAGAGTTTATTAATCATGAACACACGGGGCATGCAAACAATAGACAGACAAGGAACACAGAAGTGGGAGGGTTTAACTCTGAATGAACTGCCAAATGAAAACAGGTGCTTCTTTAAATTATTAAATTATTAGATGAAATATTAAAGCTGAGATGGTCCTAAACTAAGCAAACGAGACAAACGATGAGTTCTGAAATCAACAACCTTTCTTCCTCAAATAAATTCAGTTCAGCGACAAAATAAAGTCTCAAAGCCCTGATCTGACGAACTTATCATAACGTACAAAGTAGCAAAGAAGGTGGAAAACAAAGCCGATGCCCACTTCCGGTGTTGCTATGGAAACAGCGTAAACACGTGTCACTACCCGATCCGTACCGGAAATCCGATCGGTACCACGCATGCGTGAATGTTACGTCATTTCCTCTCTTTGCCAACCTTGCGACAGTTACCGACGGCGGAGGGGGGGGCAAGATGGCGGACTAAGCAGTCGCATCCGTCTGAACTCCTCACTGAAGTCCCGATGTTTTAATCTTGAAGTTATAAAATCCACTCCTTTGAGCTATATTGACGACGTTTCAGCCCGAACATGAAGAAAACCAACAACACGAAACCTCCGGCAGTGAAAAACCTCCCTTTTACAACCCAGAGAAACAGCAAGCATGACTACCCAGCTCCGATGGAAACGGCTGATTCCAGCAGCAACAAGAGGGACAGACTGTTAACAACCCCTGATAATACTCCTGAGAAACCACATATGGAGAAAAAAGCAAAAGGTACGGCTAGTGATAATGACTCCAACACATCCACTGACACTATACTGAAAGCTATTGAGAGTCTTGGAAAACGTGTTGATGACCGCATGGACGAAGTTAGCAAACAAATTCAACAACATAGCGCCATGCTGGCTTCCATCGCTAAATCAGTGCAGTTTAATTCAGAGGAGCTGCAAGAATGCAAAAAGAAAATAAAACACCTGGAAAAAGAGATGGAATCAATCAAAAAAGATAATGACGATATTAAGGATCGTGTATTGAGCCAGGAAAGATACAAAAGAAGATGGTGTCTTCGTATCAAAGGGAAAAAGGAGAAAACAAATGAAAATATCAGAGAAGAAGTGGTGGAACTTCTAGGAAGGATTGCTCCGGACCTAAAGATGAAGATGGAAGAAGCAGTTGATGTTGTCCACAGAGTGGGAAGAGCGGTGGAGAATAAGCATCGACAAATCATCATTCTGTTTGTGAGACGTGCCGTGAGAGATGATATCTGGAGGCGAACAAAGGCTTCTCCCGTGTGCAAAGAAGAAGGCATCCGCTTTGCTGAAGACCTGACCCCAGAGGACTGGAGAGCCAGACAAGCGTTGTGGCCAAAAATCGACCAGGCTCGGAAGGAAGGCAAGGCTGCAGGCTTCAGGGGCCCTTTTGGTTTCATAGAAGGCAAACGTATCAGGGTAGAGACTCCAGGTACGGGCTGACATCTGACTACGAAAGGAATATACAGTGGAACATTTCGGATGATGGGACTTTTACCTCAAGATTTTCCTACTCCATCTCCTAAACTTCCTCTTTAAAGCTTTTCATGTGTTCCGTGTTCCAACTAAAAACTAATATTTCTTTTTTTTCCTTTAACACAAGGGGACTTAAAGACTCAATTAAGCGCAAAGCTGTTTTTCTGTTCTGCAAGGGGCAACAGGCAAATTGTTTTTTTCTCCAGGAAACTCATTCTGAGGAATCTGATGTGAAATTTTGGTCACAACAATGGGGAGATAAAATTT